TTCTAAGGAATCTACTTTTTGTTTCATTGATTTTTGTCTATTATTTTCCTGTTTTCAATTTAATTGATTTCTGTTCTTATCTTTATTATCTTTTTACTTATGCTTGCTTTGGGTTTATTTTGCTCTCCCTTTTCTAGTTTCTTGATGTGGGAATTTATATTATGGATTTGAGACTTTCCCTCATCTCTAATGTAAGCATTTTGTGCTGTAAATTTCTCTTCGGCACTGCATTACTTGCATCCCACAAATTTTGATATGTTGTGCTTTTGTTTCCACTCAGTTCTGTGTATTTATTTTCTGTGAGAATTTCCTCTTTGCCCTGTGAATTACTTAGAAGTGTTTTCTTTAATTTCTACATGTTTAGAGATTTTCCTATTGTCTCCCTGTCATGGATTTATATTTTGATTTCATTATTATGAGGGAACTCACTATGTCTAATTTCAATTCTTTTCAACTTGTTGAGATTTATTTTATGACCCAGGATATGATTTGCCTTGGTGAATACTCCATGGGTCCTTACAAAATGTATACTCCGCTATTGTTGGGGCGGGTGAGTGTTTGTTCTGTATAGGTCAATTTGATGGTCGATTTTGTGTTCAGCTCTTCTCCATATCCTTTATGATTTTATGTCTATTAAATCTATCAGTTGCTGAGAGAGGGTGTTAAAGTTCCCAACTATAATTGTGGACTCGTGTATTTCTCATTTCAGTGCTGTCAGCTTTTGCCTTATATATATTGAGATTCAGCTCTTTGGTTTCTACACATTATGATGTTTTCTTTTCCTGACACATTGATCCTATTATATTGATGTAATGTCTCCCATTCCCTCTAGTAATTGCTTTTTGCTCAGGAGTCTACTTTATCTGATATTGATATAGCAACTCCTGTTTTTGTTTTTTATTAATGTCTGCACAATGTATCTTTGTTTCCCTCCTTTTACTTTCAACCTGCTTATGTTGTTGAATTTGAAGTGATTTTCTTATAATCAGTATATAGTTGGGTCATATTTTTTAATCCACTCTGCCAGTCTCTGTCTTTTTTTTTTTCCTTTTTTTTAAGAGACAAGTGTCTCACTCTGTCACCCAGGCTAGAGTGCAGTGGTGAAATCATAGCTCACTATAGCCTCAAATTCCTCGGCTCAAGTGAAGTGATCCTCCTGCCTCAATCTCCCAAGTAGCTAGGACCACAGGCCCATGCCACCATGCCCGGCTAGTTTTTTAATTTTTTGTAGAGCTGAGGTCTTGTTATGTTGCCCAGGCTGGTCTCAAACTCCTGGCCTCAAGCAGTCCTCCCACCTTGGCCTCCCAAAGTGCTGGGATTACAGGCGTGAGCCACCACACCCAGACTCTATCTTTTAATTAGCATATTTAGACTTTTTACATTTAAGGTAATAACTAATATGGTAGGGTTTAAGTCTGCAATATTATTATTTGTTTTCTATCTGTTTCCTCTGGCTCTCATTTCTCTGTTTATCTTTTCTTACCTTTCTGATGGTTACTTGAATATTTTTTAGGAATCCATCTTGATTTATTTCTAGTATTTTTTAATGTCTCTCTTCATATGATTTTTATAGTGGTTTATTTGAGTATACACCTATACAATATAGATGAGTGACTACTAGTATTAGTCTAATGGTATACAGTACACTGGTACCAACATTTTACCACTTCAAGTGAAGTGTGGAAACCTCACTTCTACTTAAGTTCCTTCATCTTTCCTAATTTTTTTTTTTTTTGAGACAGAGTCTCACTTTGTTGCCCTGGCTAGAGTGAGTGCCATGGCGTCAGCCTAGCTCACAGCAACCTCAGACTCCTGGGCCCAGGCAATCCTTCTGCCTCAGCCTCCCGGGTAGCTGGGACTACAGGCATGCGCCACCATGCCCGGCTAATTTTTCTATTTTTTGTAGAGACAGGGTTTTGCTCTTGCTCAGGCTGGTCTCGAACTCCTGAGCTCAAACAATCCGCCCGCCTCGGCCTCCCAGAGTGCTAGGATTACAGGCGTGAGCCACCGCGCCCGGCCCCCATCTTTCCTAATTTTAATTATCATTGTCCTCAGTATCAGATGGTATTATAATTTTTGCTTTAATGATCAAACATGAGTTATAAAACTCATGAGGAAAATGATAATGTGTTGTATTTACCTGTATTTATGCCATCTGTTGTTTATTCTTTTTCCCGACGTACCAAGATTCCCTCCTTTATCATTTCTTTTCTGTTTAAAGAACTTCCTCCAGCTGTTATTTGGGTAGGCCTTCTAGTGACAAGTTCTTTTAGTTTCTTTCGTCTAATAATGCTTTCTTTTCCTTTCATTCCTGAAGGATGTTGTCACTAGATATAGAATTTGCAGTTGACAGTTCTTTTCTCTCAGCATTTTCAAGTTGGGCCATTTTATTCTTGCCTCCATCGTTTCAGGTGGGAAGTCTGCTGTAATTTGAATTGGTTTTCTCCCATGAGTAATTCATTCTTTTTCTCTGGCTGCTTTCAAGATTTCTTTTTTGTCTTTAGTTTTAAAAGTTTAATTATGATGTGTCTTGGAATGAATTTATTTGAGTTTATCCTCTTTAGGGATTGCTCAATTTATTGAATCTGTAGGTCTGTGTCTTTCTCCAAATTAGGGAATTTTTCAGACATTATATCTCCAAATACTCTTTCAGCCCCACTCTCTTTCTTTTCTCCTTGTGACACTCTGATAATATGAAAATTAGATCTTTTGTTATTGTTTCACAAGTCCCTGAGTCTCTGCTTATTTTTTTTAGTTGATGTTCTTTCTCTCTGTTATTCAGATTAGGTAAATACCATTAATCTGTCCTCAAGTTTACTGATTCTGCCATCTCTACTGTTGAGCCTATCCAGCAAATTTTCTTTTCTGCTATGTACTTTTTAGTTCTATAATTCCCATTTGTTTCTTTTTGGACCTTCTATTTATTTCCTGCAGTTTTTAATTTTTTTCATTTGTTTTGGAGAATGGCATTGTTGATTAACTTTTTGCTGGCTGATTTAAAATGTCTGTTGGATAATTCTAACATCTGATTCATCTCAGGGTTGGTGTCAATAAATTGTTTTTTCTAATTCCAGTTGTGGTTTTCTTGGGTTTTGGTATGATAAGTGACTTTCCATTGTATCCTGAACATTTTGTCTAATATGTTAGGAGACTCTGGGTTCTACCTAAATCTTTTAATTTATAAGGCAGTCATGTTGTTTAGGTTTAGCACACAGGTCCGAGGTTACTTTTGTGGGCTGTGATTCCAATGGTAGTTTAATTTTCAGAGTCTATGAGGTATCATATTGGTCTGCTTGGCTTTCGTGGTGCCACTGGGACTCCTACTGGTCCCTAATGTTGCTGTCTGAGGGGAAAAAGGGTTTCCCCAGGCTGGCTGCAAGGTGCCTTTTGGTGGGATAGGAGATATGGTAGGGGACACCCCTACCAGTATCTATAGCTATTTAGTGTCTCTGGGAGGGGCAGGAGAGTCTCAGGCCCACAGTGACAGAGAGGCTTCCTGGAATAAGCCACTTACTGTGGCTACATTCCTTTTGTCTGTTCTACCTGCCTGATTCAGCATCTCTCAGCAAAAGAGGAGAGTCTGAAGCCCACCCATCAGGGAAGGAGAATGCCTCCCCAACTGTTTATTTTTGTCTGGGTTCCTGATCAATTCCACTTACTACTGGTGTCTGGCTCACCTACTGCTGTCAGAGGGACTCCCATTCCATATAAGGAAGAAATAGGCTTAATTAGGCTGACTTTTGATGCTCAGACAGAGGTCAGAAAATGGCAGGTCTGGATGGCCTTTCTCTATTGGATGGAGAGATGCAAGATGCCCTGCTGTTGTGCTATTATACTTCTCCAAGGGTCGCAAACAAGTTTGACTTCTTGTTACCACCAGTCAGAATTACTCTTGGTTGTCTCTTGTGCCATTTTCAGGGTTTATTATTGTCTTGAGCATGGAAAAATGGATCTCCTTGACCTTGTCCAAATCAGAAGTCTCCCAAGCCTTTTTTATTGTTCTTGTTGCAAGACAAACTTGTTCTGGCCATAGGGATATTTCATTTGATATTCTCTTTGCCTGGAATGCTCTTCCTTGAGATCTTTGAATGTTTGCCTTTCGGTCACTGTTTAAATGCCATCTCAGAGAGACGTTCCTTGGCCGCCTTATCTGATGTAGTCTTCTATTATACCACCACACCCACTCCACTCAATCACTATCACCTTATCCTGTTTTATTTTCTTTGTGGCACTTTATGAAATAACTTATTCGTCAGTTTTTTTGGAGTACAGATTCAACATAGATTTAATGAAAAATGGAGCGTATCTTATATAAGGATTTTATAAATTAGAAATCTTATGCCTATCTGGATACTACAGAAAATGCACAGGCCAGGCGTGGTGGCTCATGCCTGTAATCCTAGCACTCTGGGAGGCCGAGGCAGGAGGATTTCTTGAGCTCAGGAGTTCGAGACCAGCCTGAGCAAGAGTGAGACCCTGTCTCTATTTTTTTAAAAAAATAAAAAAAATTAAAAAAAAAAAGAAAATGCACAGACCTTCCAAAGCTCCTAGAGGAAAGAGTATATAGACAATTTTGATAAGGAGTTGAGAAACAATTCAAAAATAGATTACAAAGACAGAAGAGTCAGGAGGCAGAAAATGGTTCAAGAGGCACAGTCTTCAGAAATTGTTCTGGAATGCTGTTTTACTTCTGTCAATGTCATGTTCCTGGTTCAGTTTCTTGAACTCCACCACTTGGAAGAAGATGTGTTCGAGGATATGTTTGGCATCTTGTTGGTCCTTTGGTAGTTTACTGGTTACTCCAAGAATGTCACCATACTTCCTGACATAGAATTCCAGGTCTTCTTCAGTACACTTATTGGCAATCTGAGTAAGCTGTGCCTTCTCAGAGGAGAATGTCTCGTCTAAGTCAAACAGCTCCAGAGGAGGAGGTGGTGATTCCCTGAAATTAGGTGGGAAAACCACAGGCTGAAGGGCCGGCAGTGGTGTCTCAAACTGAGGTTGGATGAGCTGGAGTAGTTCATGTTTCACGTTTAGCTGCTCGTGAGCCTTGATGACCTTGGGGAGGGAGGTGGTATCCAGCTGGTAAATGGACAGGCCAAAGAGGGTGGTAAAGTCCCGCTGGTTCTCCTTGCCCTCCTGGAGACACACTGAAAGGTGCTCTGACAGGGTGGCTGTGTCAGGCAGCATCATGTAGTCTGAAATCTCAGGGTCCTCAGCATCAGTCTGGTTTAGTTGGATATCTTCTGTCATGAACCACTGGAAAACAACATCTATGATTTTTCTGTTTTCTTCTTTATCCAAATATTGATCAGTGAACGTGCGACATGAGCCAAGCACTGCCAGCTTCCCACCTTGGCTCTTTGATAGAAAACCAGAATGGTTCTGTTAAGTGGGAAGCAGACAGAGCCTGCAAACAGAACAGCCACTGCTTGTTTCATGACACTCAATGTGGCACCAAAACGATAGACAAAGGTGAGAGCCTGGGCATTGTTGCCACGGCTTTCCTCGTCAATGATTCCAGGCATGGCCTTTCCTGAAGCTCGGCTAATTTCCCTGTTCAAAACTCCATTGGAAACTAGAACTTCTTTAGGATGAAAATACTTGTAATACATGTTTCTAACAACAGCATCATTGTTAACCATGATTGCATATTCTTCTAGTAAAAGGTGGATATTGGTATCAGATCTGGATTCTCCACCTTCTCTTAGCATCACAAGGATATCATTACCACTGTCAAGGTACTTCTTCAGGACTTCAAACTCAGCTGCAGTAAATTTTTCCCTTGGCCCAGTTGTAATCCACAGTTTCACCCCAATTAACTTCTCAGATGTGATTTCCTCTTTTAAGCTCTGACTCTTCTAATTACTGCAAAATATTTTTCTGCATGGATTTATAGCCATTGTTGGTGGTAAATAGCTCCTTTTTGTACGTGTTACATAGAATCGTGCTCTGAAGCTATTTCTCCATGGTTACCTGAGACCCAGTGGCCACCATCTTCACCTGATGCCACCCAGCATCCTCCTGCCAGGTATCCAAGGCCACTTTCTATTTGTCAGTTTGATTGTTCATTATTTGCCTCCACCATCTCAAAACTAAGCTCTGAGAGGAGATTCCTTTCTGTCATGTTCATTGGTATGTCTTTCAGTGCTTAAAGAACAGAGAGAATAGGCCCGCAGCACATGTTTGTTAAATGAATGTATTCATCCAGCTCCAGATAAACTAGCCAAGGTGATCTGGCATGGGCATCAGATGCTAATGTAGACAGATGCTCATGACTACTACCAGCAGACTGATATCCTGAGCTGTCTAGGACATGTCTTAGGGGCAAGGAGTATGAAGGGGACCTGCTCTATTATAGTGAATCGTTGGCTCCAAATACACTATGTAGGGACATCTGGCAGGACCACATTCACTCACATCTGTGATTCTCTGAAACACTTGTGCCTATGCTAAGGCCAGGACAAGATATTCTGAAGTCCTGATATCCTCTGCATTCATGAAGATAAAATCCCCATGTACTTTATCATCATGCTCATTTTTTGTTCTAGTCCCACGATTTAGTATAGATATAGTAGCCTACAGTAATATGCTCAGAATATTCATCTCAAAATAGCTTTCCATCTCCCAGCCACAGCACCATCCTAATGAAGATAGACACTGTTGTGAAAATGGCCCACTTCATTATATGTTTTTGCCCTTTATACATACCAACCTCTGTTATCTTTCTCTTTCAGGGCCTTCTCCTAAGCAAATCTCAGAAACCCAAACTTTACCTGCCCTGGAAAGGATGACCTGAGCACTAGAGATGGTAGCTCAAGGAGTAATGGTGCTGTTTCCTTTCAGCTCATTAAAGTGTAAGAGCTGCTTTAAACACATTCTAGCAACTCATTCGTGGCAGCCATGGAGGTATATTGCTTAGATCTCCCTTTAATAGAACACCTGTCACAAGGAATTCAATTAGCTGACTGCCTCCAGCAGCAGCATCTTTAGGATCTGCATCATCTTTTCAGCTGAGGCCACATGCTTGCTGGGCCGTCCCCAGGCAATGACTGTGCACGGTGGGGGTGAATGGGGCTCTCCATTTCTGGTCAGTGCAGGATGCCTCTGTGGGAAGCCTTTGTATTGGAACCCCTTGTTGAGCTGGCTGAGAATTCTCAGAGCTACATCGCAGTCTGAGGCTCTTCTTACCCGATCCTTCTTCCGTCTCCCTCCTCTTTCACAGAGTCATACCTGCAGGTGGTATCAAGTCTTTCTCTGCCTACTTCTGCTTCCTATCCCCTTTTATCTTTTACTGGTCCTACCCCCATTGAAATCTGTTTTGCTCCTAACTCTCTCTTGGCATCTGATTCCTAGAGGAACCAAAATGACATATCCTCATCCCCTTCTGTATTTTACAGTCCCTATCTCTAAAATTCCTTCAGATGCTACCTTGACTCATGGTATTCTCTTCTGGGCTCTTTGATGCTGACATCCTATTTTAGATGGCCTTTTCATTATGGACCATGGAACTTTCTTTCAGACAGAAGCATCATCTGACATTTGCTCTCCAGTCCCGGGTACCATGACCACCAGTGTGGTCTAAATATTTAACATTGGGTTGGGAAAGGAAATCTTAGGTTCTAATCCCATTTCTGCTATTAATCACCATTTATCCTTGAGCAAGTCACTTGTCCATTCTGTACCTTAGTTTTTCCATCTATAAAATAAAAGGCTGTGACTAAATGATCTTTAAGGTCCATTCCAGCTTTGACATTACATATCTATGTATACCATAGGATTCTTTGAATCAGGAGCTTTCATTAAGGATCACTTTCTACTGTCATAAAAATTGCATAAAAATGATAGAGACTTTGCCTACAGCCCATCACAAGAACATTTGGACACTAACGTGTTAATTACGATAATATGGCATGAATTTAGAAAATGGCAGGCCAGAGCTTGAAGATAAGCCTGCATTCTGTAATGGGATGGCAACAGTGGGGTAGAAGTGATGAGCAGTCTAGGCCAGAGGAAAAACCATGGTGTGCAGAAAGTAAAGAGACACACCAGCTGTGGTCCTCGCAGGTCACCAGCAGCAGAGAGGTCCAACTGAGTAACAAGCAATCCATCTCATGAGAGAGCAGCAGCAAGGAATATAGGAAAATCCAAGCAGATGAGCAGTAACATCCAAGAAAGGAGGGAAATTGAAGAATCAGGGAAGGACAGGGAAGAGAAAGACAGGCCTTTAGCCTTAGGAGTTGAAGAACAGGGCAGGCTGTCAAGTCAAGAAACTAGGTAACAAGACAGGGACAGATCAGGTCTGGGCCCCAAAGTGTTCTTGTCTTAGAAACAAGGCCCAGGTACTAGAGACAAAGTGAAAGTTAGCCTCTAAGTAGCTAACTAAATCTCCTTATCCAATGCCCCTCATCTGCCAGCATTATTAGTCTGGGGGCAGAAGCTACTAGTAGGTAGAAAGTATGGGAAGAGGAAGATTGTGAACAAGCAGGATCATAGTGTTATGGCTTAGAGTATCAGCTCTAGAGCCAGAGAGCCCTGGATTTTAACGTCAGCTCTATGTTTCACATGCTATGTGGTCTTCAGCAAGTTGCTGAGCCTCACAGAACCTCCATTTCTTTCTGAAAAGAAGGAGATAATAATAATAATACCTATCTATAGGCCTAGGATAAGGGTTGAACGAGATTCTCCACAGAAAGAATTGAGTCCTATGCCTTGCACATTACTATGGTTTGAATGTCTGATCCTTCAGGATGGTTTAAATACATGCTGAAATTTAATTGCCAATGTATTAATAACAATATTTGGAGGTGGGAGCTTTAAGAGGTGATTGAGTCATGAGGGCTCTGCCTTCATGAATGGATTAATGCTGTTATTGTGAGAGTAGGTTAGTTATCATGGGAGTGGGCTTCTGATAAAAGGATAAGTTTGGCCCCCATTTTTTCTCTGTATCACACACTCACTCACCATGGGATGCCTTCTGCCATGGGATGACCCTCACCAGATGCTGGAACCATGCTCTTGGACTTCACAGAATCATGAGCTGAATAAACTGCTGTTCTTTATAAATTACCCAGTTTGTGGCATTCTGTTATAGCAGCAGAAAAATGGACTAAGACACACATGGTAAGTGCGCAGTAAATGTGAGCTAACGTTCTTATCCCTTGTCTGACACTGACCTTGCATAATGCAAGCCCTTTCTCATCAGCTCCCTAATTTGTGACAATGAAAACAGGAGCCTTCATGGTTGTTTAGAAGTTATAAATTCTCACTCTAGTGAAAGTGCTCATTAATATTCTTACCACCATTTCTCACAGAGAGCACCAAAGGATGAAATTTATCTAATGTGAATAATTTAAAATAATTTCTGTAAGCATACACATAGCCAGCTTTCAATTACTCACTCTAATGGAGAAGATCAGAGTCATGGGTAATCTAAAACTATGCTGGATCCAAAGTCATCTCTGTTTGGCTTGGAAATGGACTGGATAAACATTTTTGCAGCACATTTACCATTTGGATTCCTTTCTGCTTTGCTAATAAAATGAATGTACATTCTCTAAGTATGCTAGCTAGCAGCAAGTGAAAATGCACAGAAATATTCTTGGGGAAAAGGAGATGCTAAGATCATGATGTCAAGTTTGCTGCAATGAAGGGATGATTTATTATACATTTTTGTCAGTGATTCTCAAAGTTTAGAGAAAATAAAAGTCATGTGAGGAACTCGTTAAAAATGCACATTTGGCTGGGTGTGGTGGCTCATGCCTGTAACGCCAGCACTTTGGGAGGCTGAGGCGGGAGGATCGCTTGAGCCCAGGAATTTGAGACTAGCCTGGGTAACATAGTGAGACCCTGTCTCCATAAAAAAATTTTTTTTTTAATTTTCTGGTTGTGGTGTTCATGCTTGTAGTCCTAGCTACTCAGGAGGGTGAAGCAGGTGTATTGCTTGAGCTTAGGAGTTTGAGGTTACAGCGAGCTATGATCATACCATTGCACTCTAGCTTGGGTGACAAAGTAAGACCCTCCTGTCACAGAGAGAGAGAGAGAGAGAGCACAATAATAGCCCCAACCCTTAAAATTATAACTCAATAGCTCTCTCTGACATGGGTCTCGAAACTGTACTTTTTTTTTTTATTTCAGCATATTATGGGGGTACAGATGTTTAGGTTACGTATGTTGCCCTTGCTCCCCCTTCCCCCCCTAAGTCCGAGGAAACTATACTTTTTTATTGTGGTAAAATATACATAACATTAAATTGACCGTCTTAACCACTTTTCTGTGTACAGTTCAGTAATGTTAAGTGTATTCCCATTGTTGTGTAATAGATCTCTAGAGCTTTTTCATCTTGCAAAACTGAAACTGTACCCATTCCTCCTCCCTCCCCAGCCCTTGTCAATGACTTTTCTACTTTCTGTTTCTATGATTAACTATTTTAGATACTTCATATGAGTGGAATTATATAGTATTTGTCCTTTTGTGACTGGCTTATTTCACTTAGCATAATGTCCTTGAGTTTCTTCCTTTTTTTAAAAGGCTGCATAAGATTCTGTTGTATGTATATACCACATTTTCTTTATCCATTCATCCATCAATGGATGTGCTTTTCTAATAAACACCCTGGGTGATTATTACTGCTGGACCTCGTATCATATTTCAAGAATAAATATGTACACCACAAACTTAAATTGGGAAGTGCCTTTACATGAGAATCAGGTATTATGTGCCACTTTGCAAGTGAGAAAGCTGAAGTTCAGAGGGGAGGGGAACTGACCTGCCCAGTGTCATAAAATCAATGGTAGAATGGGAAGTAGGACGTAGGTCTTCCAGCGTCTCATATAATGCACTAGGAAGACATGATAATGGCCCCTGAGGAAGAAAGGTGAGAGAGAGAAGGCCATATAGAAGACAAAATAATAAAACTTGGGGTGTGTCCACATATGGTGGGGAAAGAGAAGGAATAAGAGCAAGAATAG